AGGCAGCATTGTGAAACCTCATCTCTACAAAAAAAAAAAAAAAAAAAAAAAAAAAAAAAAAAGAAAATATGTTATTCAAAAAGAAAAAAAACCAAAGTCATAAAAAAGGAAGAATTTTAATAACAAGGCTTAGTGCATTTCTTGCACCTTAAAGTATGACCCTGAGAGTTACCAGAGTGTGTTATTTCTGGAGAAGTTCTTTCTGGCTTCCCCAGGAGGAGGGCCAGGTCTATGCCCTTTATCCGCATCTCTTGTTTGGCCTGACAGGTGCGTGGCCCCACCTGTCACCTGTGCATCAGTTCCAACTTCATCTTTAACTGAGTCTCCCAGACAGATTGAGAGCTGAAACCTAGCGGAAAGACGCATGAGGCTGAATGTCTCCTGAGAGCTCAGCTCACTTTTAAAAGTAAATGACCTATATCCTTCTTGAGGCAGCAAAAGCACATTTGTTTGGTTGTGGCGTGGGCAGGCCACAGGGAATACCACTTTGTGAAAATCAAGATTTAAAATGTGTGACGAAAAGCAGTAAAATCACATTGATCGACATAAAAGTGAGATCGATGTAGCAGAAACAGGATGGAGGAAAGTCAGAATTCATACACGTGTACAAATCTCTGGTTTCCTAAGTCCAGTTGGAAGATACTCAATCCGTGTCACGTTCCTGGACCATAACATCGCTGTAATGTTGATCTAGAAGCTGTGTGTTGTACAGATGAATCCGTCTATGGTAACAAGGCTAATCAATCAAGGAGGAAAGTGAAGGCAGGGTGCTTGTGAGAGGGCATGTAGGTTCTGGTCACAAGGCTTCCAGGTCAGTGCTGTACCGCTGACCCTCCCCAACCAAACAAGGGTTCTATTTATCCAGACCAGGGGGCCACCAGGTCAGATTTGCAGTCAGTTATTCCCACTGAGGAGAGGGGTTTGTGCTTTCCTGTTTAATTGCTTATCTGGCCAAGCCATGAGATTCAGCATCCACCTTTTTGTTGGCCTTTTCCAAGACGCAGACATGGGAACTCAGTGCTGTGACATAAATCCTCTTTCCAGACTGCTACTCAAGGTTTTAAGGGAGTTAAAGTTAAATTTAACCTCTCGCTTCAGCTGTTTTCACACACAAAAATAAAAATTTAAAGCAGATTTCCCGACTTTCTTATTGGAGATTTATAAATAATTCTAAAAGTTAAGAATTTCTGCAAAGTCTGGATACTTTTACCCTTTTTTTCTGAGAGATAAGATGGTGTATTTCTGCACATATATTCAGATAAGAGGTTCCACATGTTTTTGCTTAAACCTCACTGGTAAAGGTTATGATAAGTACCAACAATACTTTATCAATTTTATATTTGTATTTGTTGATAACATAGAAGGCATGTTATAAAACAAGCAAACATGTACATAAAAAGAGAAGATAAAGATGAAAATAAACAGTATTGTAAAATGTCTCACTAGCCCTGACAGCTTTATACTATCAGCTGGTATTTCAAGACATAGAAATACTTAGAGTCACTTAGAGTGACATTTATTGGTGATTATTTTGAGTATAAGTCCATATTTCCAGTTATTTTCTTCATAATTTCACATTCCTTTGCTGAATTGTCATTGTTTTTTAGCTTTATGGCAGGGTGGACGAAAGCTCGTACTAGGGAATGGGAGAACCTGCCATTTTTGGTAGCGTGTTTGTATTGTTATGTTCAACTCATGCTTATTTGTTTTTGCAGTAATCCTTCTTTAAGTGAAATTTTTTCTTAAGCATTTAATACCAAGAGAGAAGCACGTAAGTGTTTCATATCAGATCATAAATGTACAACATGAATTTTCACAAAATGTACACACTCCTATGACCACTACCCAGATTAAGAAACGGAACATTCCCAAAGCCCCCATGGCGGCCCTCCAAGTCACCCCCAGCCTTTCTTCCTCAAAGTAACCTCTCTTTTGATGTGTATTATCTTCTATTACGTCTGCCTGTGTTTGACTTTATGTAAATGAAATGATGGCACCGGTCTTCTCTGGTGTCTGGCTGCTTTTGCAGACAATCTGTTGGTTGGATTCATGCATGTGGTCACATGGGGTTGTAGTTTATTCTGTTTTAAGTGCAGCACTCCATTGTGTGATGACCCCATTACATTATTCCTTCTACTATCGAGGGCATTTGTGTTGTGTCCAGTTTGGGGCTATCATGAGTAGGGTCTCTGTGAACATTACCACCCCTGGTTTTTGGTGGACATACGCCCACATTTATGTGGGATGTGCACCTAGGAGCAGAATTGCTGAGTCATAAGGTAGTTCATCTTTGGTAATACTGCCCAAAGATACCAATGTGCATTTCCTAATGAGCAGGGGTTGAGGAGCAGTTCCACACTCACCAACACTTGGTATTAGCGTTGGCCTTTTTAACTTTAGCTCTTCTGGTGGATACCGTCAGCCAAGGGGGTCCCTCAGGCCCTGTGTCACAGAGGGCTCTACACGTGTGTTCCTCAGGAGTGTGCTATGTCTGAAGGATGGTTGCTTACAAAGGGCCACAGGACCACTTCCAGGACCTGCTTGTTCTGCAGAAGGTAGCCTGAGGGGTTGGTCAGGAGGTGTCTCTCAGCATCTCTTGGGATGGAAGGAGGAGTGAGTGCGTGGGGCTGGTTTCTTTGGGCTTCCTAGTCTTCGTGCACCTGGGGGAGGCCCTCGAGCAGGATGGAGCCCTGGGTAGGGGGGAAAAGGGTGTCACGACCATGTCTGGCGCTCCCCCTTGTAACAGGCTTCCATTGTCAAGGAGGCTGGGAATTCTACATTTGGACCTGGGCCTCTGAGGTTCCATTCCACTGAGTAGCGTGGTAAGGTGAAGCCAGTAGAGGTGGGCGCTGGTAGCACCTGGTGGGCAGAGGCTGGCCGGCATGGCTGTGTGAGAGATGAGAGAGTACCTGCTGGCCACCGTGCTCGCCTCTGTCCAGGGAGGGGTGTGATGGTGGTGATGGTGGGCAGGCAGCTGAGCCTGGGTTGGGGGTGAAGAGCCTCCCTGGCTTCCTGGGAAAGAGGACAAGAAGATTGAGTGTTCGCCCCATGGGCTTCCAGTGGGATTAGATTAGGGATATGGGGAAGTGGCAGTGGGTGCCTGTTGGCAACAGGATCCTTTACTTCCATCCTTCCCTGCCTCCTAGAGCGCACTGTCCCAGAGAAAGATCATGTGAGTGACAGGTGTCCTTTTAATTCTCTAGTAGCCATGTTTTTGTATAAAAAGTATGCAGAAAGAGGTAAAATTAATTTTAATTATATATTTACCTAATAGAGCCAAAATATAACTTCAATCAGTGATCAGTATAAACATTACTAGTGAGATGTTTGCATATTTGAGCCAAGTTTTGAAATCAGATGTGCGTTGACCCTTCCCGCACACCTCAGTTCAGACCAGCCACATCGGTTAACCTGCTCGACAGGGCAGCCCCAGATGGGATTATGGCCTTTGGTGGAAAATGAAATCAGTTTGGGGTTTGTACTCTTAGCCATTTGAGTGAACTGTTGCTTTTACCTAGTTTTGATTTTGTTAAGAAGAATCGTTTGTAAAATATGAAGATATGTTTGTAAAAACAGGAAGATAGAACATATTTTAAGTTTGTTAGGTTGAATTTAAACCTTTACCATCGAGGCATATGGGGAGGAGGATGTCTCCATTTGTACCTTTGCCCTTAAATTCTGGCAGTGGTCAGTGGTCAAGAGCGAGGCAGGTTGGTGGTGGCCATGGTCAGGTGCTGTCCATCTTGGTGTATCCAGGCAGGGACACAGGTAAGGACCATTTCTTACTCATCTTTGGGGCTTCAGAGCCTCAAAGATTCTTTGCGACCTGACTGGTAGTTGCTTATTTTCACTGACAGATTTGGGGTTTTCTAGGGGCTGATGGGAAGGAGACGTAGGTTGTAAAAATAGAGTAGTTGAGAAGTGTGGCATCATTAATCAGATAACAAGTAAAGAAAGCCCAGTTCTTTGTGTGTCGGCAGGTGCCACACAAAGGGGGCACATAGGTCTGCCTTGTTTTCTTCATATTCCTAGAGCGTAGTATACAGTAGGTGCTAATGAATCAACACGTATTTACTGAGCACCTATCATGTGTCAGGTGCCATGTGATGTATTACGCTCTGGGGATACAACTGTGAACAAGATAAAGTTCTTGCTCTCTTGGAATTTATGTATTATTGATGGGAAGCCTGTTTTGATAATAATAAGAAAAGATCAGATGCAGTGGCTCATGCCCGTAACTCCAGCACTTGGGGAGGCCAAAGCGGGTGATCACCTGAGGTCAGGAGTTTGAGACCAGCCTGGCCAACACTGCGAAACCCCATCTCTACAACAAAAATTAGCAGCGTGTAGTGGTGGGCGCCTGTAATCCCTGCCACTTGGCAAGCTGAGACAGGGAGAATTGCTTAAACCCAGGAGGCAGAGGTTGCAGTGAGCTGAGATGGCCCCAGTGTACTCCAGCCTGGGTGACAGAGAGAGACTTTGTCTCAAAAAAAAAAAAAAAAGTAATAATAAATCAATTGTGGACACAGCTCAAATGACAATCTGACATATGATGGATTCTCAAAGCGCTCAGAAGAAAAATAGTAGTTTTCCTGAGTCTTAAAAGATATAATTAGTCAGCAGGCACCAGGGATATTTAAATACCTAAAGGAGGGGTCCTCCTGGCCACTTGCTGGTAAAGGATTAAGAGAATCCATTCAAGAACACTTGTCTCAAATTTACTTTGACTTACAAGCTCATGTCTATACTATTCTTTGTGACTTGACGGGTAATTGTGTTTTAGCATTTACACATGTTGGGTTTTCTAAGGGCAGAAGGAGATATACATTTAAAAAATGTCATAGGGTCAGCTGTGGTGGTGCACGCCTGTAATTCTAGCACTTGGGAAGGCCAAGGCAGGTGCATCGCTTGAGCTCAGGTTTTTAAAACCAGCCTAGGCAGCATTGTGAAACCTCATCTCTACAAAAAAA